TCTGGGGTGAAAGCCTCGACAGCTATGCAAACCAGATGAGAGGTTTGCCAGGGCGTGACCTTGGGTGAGCAGCAGCTGCTGTGAGCACACCCATTCCACAGCACTCACCGCAGCCCCCAGCCTCCAGGCAGTGGCCCCAGCCATCCTTCCCTTAGCCACTCCTGTCCCCTGCCAGCAGGAGCCTCTGGCCTGGCCTCCCTCCCCTGCTTGCCATTCCCTGGCCTGGAGCCTGTCTCCTGCGGGAGTCCCTCAGGCGAGCTGCCTGGGCTCAGGGTGGCTCTGAGCTCAGGTGTGCTGCCTGCCAGTGTGCTGTATCAGGAGGGCTCTGGCTTCCCAGTTCCACATCTGGCTCCTTTCCTGGCCATGACCAGATGAGCTGCTGGGAATCTGGACTGAGTGTGTTCCAACTTTGCCTTAGTTTCCCTAAGGAAGCTAAGATAATGCAATGATGGGCTATTCCCTTTCTTAGCTAGTGTTGGCACAGGAGATTCCCTGTCAGCTCCTGACGCAGGAGCCTCCCTGCCTGGGTTAGGGTCTGGCCCTGATGACACAGTGCAGGCCACACCCTGGGTCACCTGCCTGGGATGTCTCCTGCCCCGGCAGGTGGGTGAAGGCTAGGGGGTGGCTGGCGGCAGTGAACTTGGCAAGATAATCCGATCATCATTCATCCCCAGAGCCTCCTGCCTTCTCTCGGGCTGCTGCCCGGTGGCTGGGAGCCTTTGCCCCAGCTGGGTGGCCATCTGCTGATGTGCCATCCTGCCTGCAGATCTGGTGGCTGGATCCAGAGCTGACCTATGGCTGCGCCAAGCCCTTCGTCTTCACCCAGGGCCACTCCGTGTGCAGCCGCTCCTTCTTCACGTGCTTTAATCGCCTGCTGTAAGTGCACCTACTCTGCCGTAAATCCAAGGTCAGGGGCCGCAGCTACCATCACCTTGCTCCCAGGACAACCCAGCAGCCTGGCCACCGCCCCCTCCCCCTTGCTCCTACCTGCCTGGACTGTGGCCCCAGCTGCCAGCACGTCACAGTGCTGAGCAGGAGCCCACCCTCCTACTCTATGGGAGGGCTGCTGCAGGGAACAGGGAAGCTGGGCTGCCTCAACGGGCCTGAGATTCAAGTCCTGGACCCAGGGTGAGAGATTGTGAGGGCCCAGACAAGGAGTCTCCAGATGAGCTGCTGATCTCTGGTGAGGTCATAGGTCACTGGGCCCGAGCTTGGCAGCACCCGCTGCTGGGATGTGAGTTTGCAGGCTGGGGCACAAAGTCCAGTGGAGGGTGAGTCTTTGGAGAAAAGTTCTCTGACAGAAATGTTCCTGATGGGGATGCACTTAAGAGTTTCCTGCTACAAATGTGGGGCAGCCTGACAGGCTCCTGGCCAGGCTGTGGGTGTGTTGACGGTGAGCCTCCTGGTCTAGTCTGTGGCCTCCTTTGAAGCCATCGAAGTGCAGGAGTGCTGATAGGTGCCACCCAGAGTGCGTGCTGTGGAGGAAGAAGCGTCTTCCACTTCCACATGGGAACATCCCGTGCCCGCCTACCTGGCGTGGCCCTGGTGGCGGAGACCTCAAGCCAGACCCTTCGGGCCCAGGTAGGGAGGGCCTTCCGGGCTGCCCAGGCCTCAGGGAGAGCCCCACCAGGGATCTGTGACCTGTGTCCACAGGTGCCTGCTAGAGACCCCCACTGACCTCTGGAGCACTCTGAGCCAGCCCCTGCCCCTGCCTTGGGTGCCACCTTGCGAGGCCGTGTCTGCAGGTCCTCCACCCATGTGCCCTCAGACCCAGCAGCCTGGCCCACCCAGTGCCTGCCCTGCAAGCCTAGTCCCTTCCTGCAAGGCCTGCAGCCTGGCACCCTCACACCTTCATTGGTGCCTTCAACCCGAGATAAAAGCAGGCTAAGTGGCCTAGAATGCAGCTCTGCCCTGCTGTGGGAAGGCCAGGAGTAGCTGCGCATCCAGTGAGGCAGGGCGGAGCTCTGCGGGCTGGGGTGGTCAGCCAGGCTGGATGAGGTGTGCAGGTGTTACTGGAGCCCCAGGGCAGTGGGGAGAGCCTTTGGGGTGAGCAGAGGCTGGGCTGCTCGGCCTCAGATGACCCTCTCTGCATGCAACAGGAGTGCGTGTGGGCCGAGAGCCGTACCTCTACCCACGGCCACCAGCAAAGTTAATCGGGTAGCAGTGGAGCAGTGGCTGAGTGCAGCTGAGGCGGCTGTATGGGCCGTACATTGTGGGAGCAGGTAGGCCCGGGACCTGTAGACCTGGCTGACTGGAAGGAGGGTCAGAGAGAGAGCCCCTCCTCCTGACCCTAGGGTATCCTGTCCCCATCTCCTGGGAGAAGCGGAGCTCACTGCAGCTGGGGCCTGGCCTCAGCATCTGGGGTGGGGACGGGCTTCTCAGTGGGGCTGGGGCCTGGCCTCAGCATCTGGGGTGGGGACGGGCTTCTCAGTGGGGCTGGGGCCTGGCCTCAGCATCTGGGGTGGGGGCCGGGCTTCTCAGTGGCGCTGGGGCCTGGTCTCAGCATCTGGGGTGAAAGCCTCGACAGCTATGCAAACCAGATGAGAGGTTTGCCAGGGCGTGACCTTGGGTGAGCAGCAGCTGCTGTGAGCACACCCATTCCACAGCACTCACCGCAGCCCCCAGCCTCCAGGCAGTGGCCCCAGCCATCCTTCCCTTAGCCACTCCTGTCCCCTGCCAGCAGGAGCCTCTGGCCTGGCCTCCCTCCCCTGCTTGCCATTCCCTGGCCTGGAGCCTGTCTCCTGCGGGAGTCCCTCAGGCGAGCTGCCTGGGCTCAGGGTGGCTCTGAGCTCAGGTGTGCTGCCTGCCAGTGTGCTGTATCAGGAGGGCTCTGGCTTCCCAGTTCCACATCTGGCTCCTTTCCTGGCCATGACCAGATGAGCTGCTGGGAATCTGGACTGAGTGTGTTCCAACTTTGCCTTAGTTTCCCTAAGGAAGCTAAGATAATGCAATGATGGGCTATTCCCTTTCTTAGCTAGTGTTGGCACAGGAGATTCCCTGTCAGCTCCTGACGCAGGAGCCTCCCTGCCTGGGTTAGGGTCTGGCCCTGATGACACAGTGCAGGCCACACCCTGGGTCACCTGCCTGGGATGTCTCCTGCCCCGGCAGGTGGGTGAAGGCTAGGGGGTGGCTGGCGGCAGTGAACTTGGCAAGATAATCCGATCATCATTCATCCCCAGAGCCTCCTGCCTTCTCTCGGGCTGCTGCCCGGTGGCTGGGAGCCTTTGCCCCAGCTGGGTGGCCATCTGCTGATGTGCCATCCTGCCTGCAGATCTGGTGGCTGGATCCAGAGCTGACCTATGGCTGCGCCAAGCCCTTCGTCTTCACCCAGGGCCACTCCGTGTGCAGCCGCTCCTTCTTCACGTGCTTTAATCGCCTGCTGTAAGTGCACCTACTCTGCCGTAAATCCAAGGTCAGGGGCCGCAGCTACCATCACCTTGCTCCCAGGACAACCCAGCAGCCTGGCCACCGCCCCCTCCCCCTTGCTCCTACCTGCCTGGACTGTGGCCCCAGCTGCCAGCACGTCACAGTGCTGAGCAGGAGCCCACCCTCCTACTCTATGGGAGGGCTGCTGCAGGGAACAGGGAAGCTGGGCTGCCTCAACGGGCCTGAGATTCAAGTCCTGGACCCAGGGTGAGAGATTGTGAGGGCCCAGACAAGGAGTCTCCAGATGAGCTGCTGATCTCTGGTGAGGTCATAGGTCACTGGGCCCGAGCTTGGCAGCACCCGCTGCTGGGATGTGAGTTTGCAGGCTGGGGCACAAAGTCCAGTGGAGGGTGAGTCTTTGGAGAAAAGTTCTCTGACAGAAATGTTCCTGATGGGGATGCACTTAAGAGTTTCCTGCTACAAATGTGGGGCAGCCTGACAGGCTCCTGGCCAGGCTGTGGGTGTGTTGACGGTGAGCCTCCTGGTCTAGTCTGTGGCCTCCTTTGAAGCCATCGAAGTGCAGGAGTGCTGATAGGTGCCACCCAGAGTGCGTGCTGTGGAGGAAGAAGCGTCTTCCACTTCCACATGGGAACATCCCGTGCCCGCCTACCTGGCGTGGCCCTGGTGGCGGAGACCTCAAGCCAGACCCTTCGGGCCCAGGTAGGGAGGGCCTTCCGGGCTGCCCAGGCCTCAGGGAGAGCCCCACCAGGGATCTGTGACCTGTGTCCACAGGTGCCTGCTAGAGACCCCCACTGACCTCTGGAGCACTCTGAGCCAGCCCCTGCCCCTGCCTTGGGTGCCACCTTGCGAGGCCGTGTCTGCAGGTCCTCCACCCATGTGCCCTCAGACCCAGCAGCCTGGCCCACCCAGTGCCTGCCCTGCAAGCCTAGTCCCTTCCTGCAAGGCCTGCAGCCTGGCACCCTCACACCTTCATTGGTGCCTTCAACCCGAGATAAAAGCAGGCTAAGTGGCCTAGAATGCAGCTCTGCCCTGCTGTGGGAAGGCCAGGAGTAGCTGCGCATCCAGTGAGGCAGGGCGGAGCTCTGCGGGCTGGGGTGGTCAGCCAGGCTGGATGAGGTGTGCAGGTGTTACTGGAGCCCCAGGGCAGTGGGGAGAGCCTTTGGGGTGAGCAGAGGCTGGGCTGCTCGGCCTCAGATGACCCTCTCTGCATGCAACAGGAGTGCGTGTGGGCCGAGAGCCGTACCTCTACCCACGGCCACCAGCAAAGTTAATCGGGTAGCAGTGGAGCAGTGGCTGAGTGCAGCTGAGGCGGCTGTATGGGCCGTACATTGTGGGAGCAGGTAGGCCCGGGACCTGTAGACCTGGCTGACTGGAAGGAGGGTCAGAGAGAGAGCCCCTCCTCCTGACCCTAGGGTATCCTGTCCCCATCTCCTGGGAGAAGCGGAGCTCACTGCAGGGCGGGGCTGATCCCTGCTGGGTGGAAGGTGGGAGGTGTGGGTGTGCGGGGTGGAGTCTGAGCCCTGAGGTCTGCATGTGCATGGCCTTCAGCATCTGGGGTGGGGACGGGCTTCTCAGTGGCGCTGGGGCCTGGTCTCAGCATCTGGGGTGGGGAAAGCCTCGACAGCTATGGCGCAGATGAGAGGTTTGCCAGGGCGTGACCTTAGGTGGGCAGCAGCTGCTGTGAGCACACCCATTCCACAGCACTCACCGCAGCCCCCAGCCTCCAGGCAGTGGCCCCAGCCATCCTTCCCTTAGCCACTCCTGTCCCCTGCCAGCAGGAGCCTCTGGCCTGGCCTCCACTCCCTGCTTGCCATTCCCTGGCCTGGAGCCTGTCTCCTGCGGGGTCCCTCCAGGCGAGGCTGCCTGGGCTCAGGGTGGCTCTGGGCTCGGGTGTGCTGCCTGCCAGTGTGTAGCCATCAGGAGGCTCTGGCTTCCCAGTTCCACATCCCAGGCTCCCTTTCCTGGCCATGACCAGATGAGCTGCTGGGAATCTGGACTGAGTGTGTTCCAACTTTGCCTTAGTTTCCCTAAGGAAGCTAAGATAATGCAATGATGGGCTATTCCCTTTCTTCGCCCTAGTGTTAGCTGGGAGATTCCCCTGTCAGCTCCCTGACGCAGGGCCTCCTGCCTGGGTTAGGGTCTGGCCCTGATGACACAGTGCAGGCCACACCCTGGGTCACCTGCCTGGGATGTCTCCCTGCCCCGGCAGGCAAGTGAAGGCTAGGGGGTGGCTATTGGCGCTTGATGAACTTAGCAAGATAATCCAGCCATCGTCGCCTCCCAGAGCCTCCTGCCTTCTCTCGGGCTGCTGCCCAGTGGCTAGGGCCCAGCACCCCAGCTGGGTGGCCATCTGCTGATGTGCCATCCTGCCTGCAGATCTGGTGGCTGGATCCAGAGCTGACCTATGGCTGCGCCAAGCCCTTCGTCTTCACCCAGGGCCACTCCGTGTGCAACCGCTCCTTCTTCCCGTGCTTTGATACGCCTGCTGTGAAGTGCACCTACTCTGCCGTCGTCAAGGTCAGGGGCCGCCAGCTACCATCACCTTGCTCCCAGGACAGCCCAGCAGCCTGGCCACACCGCCTCCCCCTTGCTCCTACCTGCCTGGACTGTGGCCCCAGCTGCCAGCACGTCACAGTGCTAGCAGGAGCCCACCCTCCCTACTCTATGGGAGGAGCTGCTTTGCAGGGAACAGGGGAAGCTGGGCTGCCTCCAACGGGCCTGAGGGGTTCAGGGTCCTGGACCCAGGGTGAGGGATTGTAGGGGCCCCAGACAAGGGGTCTCCAGATAGAGCTGCTGATCTCTGGTGGGGTCTGTAGGTCACTGGGCCCGAGCTTGGCAGCACCCGCTGCACTGGGATGAGGTTTGCAGGCTGGGAGCTCGGGGTCCGAGTGGAGGGTGGCAGGTCTTTGGAGAAAAGTTCTCTGACAGAAATGTTCCCTGATGGGGATGTAGAGTTTCCTGCTACAAATGTGGGGCAGCCTGACGGGCTCCCTGGCTTGGGCTGTGGGTGTGTTGACGGTGGGGCCTCCTGGTCTCAGTCTGGCCTCCTTACAGGCGCCATCGGGGGTGCAGGTGCTGATGAGTGCCACCCAGAGTGCGTACATGGAGGAAGAAGGCGTCTTCCACTTCCACATGGAACATCCCGTGCCCGCCTACCTCGTGGCCCTGGTGGCCGGAGACCTCAAGCCAGCAGACATCGGGCCCAGGTAGGGAGGGCCTTCCGGGCTGCCCAGGCCTCAGGGAGAGCCCCACCAGGGATCTGTGACCTGTGTCCACAGGTGCCCTGCTGAGGACCCCCACTGACCTCTGGGCACTCTGAGCCAGCCCTGCCCCTGCCTTGGTGCCACTGCCAGGGCCGTGTCTGCCAGGTCCTCCCACCCATGTGCCCTCAGACCCAGCAGCCTGGCCCACCCAGTGCCTGCCCTGCAAACTGGTCCTTCCTGCCAAGGCCCCTGCACAGCCTGGCACCCTCACACCTTCATTGGTGCCTTCAACCCAGAGATAAAACGAGCTAAGTGGCCCCTAGAATGCAGCTCTGCCCCTGCTGTGGGAAGGGCCAGGGTAGCTGCGCATCCAGTGAGGCAGGGCGGGCTGCGGGCTAGGGTGGTCAGCCAGGCTGGATGAGGTGTGGGTGTTACTGGAGCCCCAGGGCAGTGGGAGAGCCTTTTGGGGTGAGCAGGGCTGGGGCTGCTCGGCCTCAGATGACCCTCTCTGCATGCAACAGGAGCCGCGTGTGGGCCGAGCCGTGCCTCCTACCCACGGCCACCAGCAAGTTGTCGGGCGCAGTGGAGCAGTGGCTGAGTGCAGCTGAGCGGCTGTATGGGCCGTACATGTGGGGCAGGTAGGCCCCGGGGACCTGTAGACCTGGCTGACTGGAAGGAGGGGTCAGAGGGGGAGCCCCTCCTCTGACCCCTAGGGTGTCCTGTCCCCATCTCCTGGGGAGGAAGCGGAGCTCACTGCAGGGGCGGGGCTGATCCCTGCTGGGTGGAAGGTGGGGTGTGGGTGTGCGGGGTGGGAGTCTGAGCCCTGAGGTCTGCCACCCTCACCGCCCTCCTGGTGCAGGTACGACATTGTCTTCCTGCCCCCCTCCTTCCCCATCGTGGCCATGGAGAACCCCTGCCTCACCTTCATCATCTCCTCCATCCTGGAGAGCGATGAGTTCCTGGTCATCGATGTCATCCATGAGGTGGCCCACAGCTGGTTTGGCAATGCTGTCACCAATGCCACGTGGGAAGAGATGTGGCTGAGCGAGGGCCTGGCCACCTATGCCCAGCGCCGCATCACCACCGAGACCTACGGTGCGGCCGGGGCCGGGGAGGGCAGCCACTGGGGACCCTGGGCACTGAGCCAGGGGCAGAAAGCCCAGCCTGGCTCCCCTGCCATGCTGCAGGTGCCCACACCCTCCTGCTTCCCCCGACTCCCCCTACACCCCCTCACCTTGCCCGTCTCCGGACCCCATCCAGGTGCTGCCTTCACCTGCCTGGAGACTGCTTTCCGCCTGGATGCCCTGCACCGGCAGATGAAGCTTCTGGGAGAGGACAGCCCGGTCAGCAAACTGCAGGTCAAGCTGGAGCCAGGTACCTGCTCCTCAGGACCTGCTCCTGGAACCGGGGATGTCACCCCTCAAGGCCTCCTTGCCTGCCCTTCGTGTGTTCTGGCTGTGGCTTCTCTGTCCCCCACTGTTCCTGGACCCCTGCCAAGGCCAAGCTGAGAGCCCCTCATCTGGGCAAGGCCTCCCCAGGCTCCCACAGCCACCGCCACCTCCCTGGCTCTGAGCACTGGTCACAGTGGCGTGTGAGTCCTCAGTCTTCCCCGAGACGTGCCCAGGGCGTCAGTACACATCTGGACATGTGAGGGACTGTGGCTCTTGGCCCTTCCTACTCCTCGGAGCCTGACCACCGCCCCTCCCTGTCCCATGGGACACTGGTGGTCTCGGACGCCAGCCCAAGTGGGTGTTCACCTTGCAGGAGTGAATCCCAGCCACCTGATGAACCTGTTCACCTACGAGAAGGGCTACTGCTTCGTGTACTACCTGTCCCAGCTCTGCGGAGACCCACAGCGCTTTGATGACTTTCTCCGAGTGAGCAGCCCCGTGCCCAGGACGGCCCTGCTGCCACCTGCCCCCAGCCCCTCCCCAGCTCACAGGGCTGCCTGCTCTTCTGGCAGTTGGGGTGGAATTGGCAGGGGCCTGTAAGCCTGGCTGGGACCTAGTCTGCCTTTCTTTGCGGGGAGTGCCTGGGTTGCCACCTTCCCTTCTCCCACCCTCCGTTTGGTCACTTGGCAGGGCCTGTGTGCCAAATGCTGGCTCCGCAATGCCTACTAGCTGCCTCTGCGCCTGCCCTGTGTCCAGCACGTACCTCAGCGCATGCCCTGCAGTGCCCTGCAGGCCTCTCATGGGGCTGCCTGTGCCCCGTCCTTCCAGGCCTGCTGAGGCCCCACCTCTGCCACACAGGCCTACGTGGAGAAGTACAAGTTCACCAGTGTGGTGGCCCAGGACCTGCTGGACTCCTTCCTGAGCTTCTTCCCGGAGCTGAAGGAGCAGAGCGTGGACTGCCGGGCAGGTGAGGCTGACCCCACTGCTGCAGTCAGGGAACTGTGCGTGTGATGACAGGCAGGGCCTCTGCTGCCTGAGAGGCCGCTCCGCCTGGAGGAAAGCCCAGTCAGTTCACTGTCTGTCCTTCAGCCGACCCTTGCTGGACCATATGGGCCCCAGGCCGGTATGCTATGAGAACAGGGCTGGGGTTGGGGACCTGCCTGGGGGCGGTGGCACAAGGCTAAGTGGGCCGAGTTAGGCACTCCCAGGAAGTGGGCCATGGAAACCAGGTGCGCAAAGGGCCTGGTGTAGGAAGGGCGGGTGATGGGGGTGTCCTGGAGCTGGAAAGCAGCAGCCAGCCCTGCTTATGCATCACTTCTAAGGGTGTCCCTGAGGGTCTGAGGGCTTTGGGGCCCAGGAAGGCACTGCAGGGTTCAGACATTGAGGGAGAGGCCAGAATTGCTGGAGGGTGGTGAGGTGCCGCTGGGAGGGCTGTGCATGGTGACACCAAGTTTTGGAAGGTACAGCAAGTTCACCAAGAGCTTTTTGTGGGTAGGGGATGGGCACTGCCCTTTTAGAGCAGGAACATCATCTTAAGAGCCTGTTTCCCCCATCCCGCCCCTGCTGGCTCATGGCGCAGGTGGCCTCTGCCAGCACTGAGGTTGGGTTTAGACTACTTCATTGTCTTCCACCCAGGAGAGGCGTGGTTGGGTCACCAACCCAAGCCTCTGCCTCCCTGTACCCCTTCACAGAAGCCCCTTCAGTGGCTTCAAGTGGCAGTGCTGGCTGGAGCTGACCTCGCCTTCCTGAACGGCCCATGTCCCTGGAACAGGCCACCTGTCTGGGACACACTCAGGGTCTGGGGTCTCCTGGGCAGATTGCTCAGGCAGCCCCTCCCCAGCCCGGGCAGGGACCCCAGGGTCACTTCTCCCCTCCAGGGCTGGAATTCGAGCGCTGGCTCAATGCCACAGGCCCGCCACTGGCTGAGCCGGACCTGTCTCAGGGATCCAGCCTGACCCGACCCGTGGAAGCCCTTTTCCAGCTGTGGACCGCAGAACCCCTGGACCAGGCAGCTGCCTCAGCCAGTGCCATTGACATCTCCAAGTGGAGGACCTTCCAGACAGCACTCTTCCTGGACCGGCTCCTGGATGGGTCCCCGCTGCCACAGGGTGGGTCCTTGCAGCTGATGGGGGTGGCCCAGGGGCTGGGGTGCAACAGCAGCTCAGCCCTGACCTGCCCCCTGCCCTGCAGAGGTGGTGATGAGCCTGTCCAAGTGCTACTCCTCCCTGCTGGACTCGATGAACGCTGAGATCCGCATCCGCTGGCTACAGATCGTGGTCCGCAACGACTACTATCCTGACCTCCACAGGGTGCGGCGCTTCCTGGAGAGCCAGGTGCAGTCACCTACCCAGGGAACCAGTCTGGAACGGCCTAGCCATGCGGAGTGGGAATCCCACCTGACTCCCTAGTCTGAGCTGTTGGGGCAGGCCAGGCACATTCCGGAGAATGGGGCGGGGAAGACATAGGGGTCTGTTGGGAGTGGGGGCATGCACTGGGTGCAAGTGCCAGAGGGCAGCCTGGACTCCACCAGTTCTTGGAGAAGCTGTGGAAGGGACCAGCTGGGAGCAGGAGTCAGGGGTCCAGGCCATCTCAGCCTGCTGGGCCCTGGGCCTTCAGCATCCAGGTCTGGGCAGAGGGGACGTCCAAGCTCCTCAGAGAGAACCCAGAGCCCTCAGGCCCGTGGGACCTGGCTGCCCTGTTCCCTGTATGTGCTTCCTCCAGCCCAGGCTCCCTGGAGATGGGGACTCCATGGTTGGCCTGGAAGGGTGGGGTGGAGGTTGGAGGCTAATGGCAGGCCTCCTGGACACCAGATTCCAGGCCACAGCCCTGATGATGAAACTGGGGAGCCAGGGGTAGGAGAGCCGCCTGGCCGGTCTGGCAGGGTGGGCTGGCTCGAGGGGCCTGGGGAGCCCACCAGTGTGACCGAGTGACCCTCCCGCAGATGTCACGCATGTACACCATCCCGCTGTACGAGGACCTCTGCACCGGTGCCCTCAAGTCCTTCGCGCTGGAGGTCTTCTACCAGACGCAGGGCCGGCTACACCCCAACCTGCGCAGAGCCATCCAGCAGATCCTGTCCCAGGGCCTGGGCTCTAGCACAGAGCCTGCCCCAGAGCCCAGCACGGAGCTGGGCAGGGCTGAAGCAGACACAGACTCAGACGCACAGGCCCTGCTGCTTGGGGATGAGGCCCCCAGCAGTGCCATCTCTCTCAGGGACGTCAATGTGTCTGCCTAGCCCTGTTGGCAGGCTGACCCTCGACCTCCCAGACACCACAATTGTGCCTTGTGTGGGCCAGGCCTGCCATGACTGCGCCTATGGCTCTGGCCATGAGCTCTGCCCAGGCCCACAAGCCCCTCCCCTGGGCTCTCCCAGGCAGGGAGAATGGGGAGAGGGACCTCCTTGTGTCCGGCAGAGATCTGTGGACCTGGCCTCCCCACTCCCAGCTCTCTTGCACTGCAGGCCCTGGGGCCAGCCCGCACACGCCATGCCTCCTGTCTCAACACTGACAGCTGTGCCTAGCCCCGGATGCCAGCACCTGCCAGGTGCTGCCCCTGGGGCAAGGGCCCCAGCAGCCCTACGGTGACCGCCACACTGTGCCTTACGTCTGCCAGGGGCCCGGGCTGTGCTGTGTCTGCGTCCCTGCAGCACGCCTCCTTGCAGGGATCTGAGCCACCCTCCCCGCACAGCCCTGCACCCCGCCCCTGGGGTTGGCAGCCTCAGTTGGCCCCTGGCAGAGGAACAAGGACACAGACATTCCCTCAGTGTGGGGGCAGGGGACACAGGGAGAGGACAGTTGTCCCTGGGGAGGGCCCCCTGGCCCCAGGCAACCTTAGCCCCTCAGAACAGGGAGTCCCAGGACCCAGGGGGAGTGTGGGGAGCCTGTCTCTTGTGGCTTCCTGGGGTGGGAGGCAGATGGGCACAGCAATACCCTAGGGAAAGTGGGAGGTGGTGCTGGTGCTCTCTCTAGGCCCACCATGCTGGGAGAGGCGGATGGGGCCTGGGGCTCCAGCCTGGGACTGCTGCGATGGGGTATCACGGTGATGGTCCCATTAAAACTTCCACTCTGCAAACCTGATCTTCCTCCCTCTTTCTCTCGACTTGTCCTCTGCATCTTCCCGGCTGTGTAGGGTGGGCTGGCCTGCCAGGACTTGGAACCTGCAGCTGGTCAGGAGCTGGGCATGGCCCCTCCTCTGATACACAAGCCTGAGAGCAGGCTCCCCGAGTCCTGCCCAGCCCCTTGGCCGGACCTCCTGGGCCTGAGTAGCCTCTGGATGTCACAGAGAGGCCATGTGTCACCTTCACTCTGGGCCTTCACCTTTGTGGCTTAAGCCAAATCCCAGCCTCAAGTGGTGATCCTGTCCCAAGATGGGTACCAGGTGACAGGCATGTTTAGTTTTGGAGAATTGAGATTTCCATTTTCCCAGGCGATAGGTGTTGCTGCTTTCCTGAGTCCCCAAGGATGTGGTGCCACCATCTCAGTGCCACACACACCTGGCCAACATGCCGTGGCCCAGAAGCAGCACGTCTCCTCTCTCAACCCACTGGCCAGGCCCAGTCACAGCTCCACTCCACACATGGCAGCCAGGAAGTGGGGAGGGCAGGAGGTGTTGGGCAAATAACCCTGACGCCATCACCATCCAGTCCCCAGCCACCAAATGTCCCACTCACCCTCTTCCCTGTTCTGGATGCCCCGCCCCTCCCCAGGGCAGACGAGTTCCCCTCCAGTGGCAGTAGCAACTCCAGTCTAGGGTCTGGGACTGTCTCTGCATGTGTTGCTTCACGTACCTTCTTCACATCAAGGCTGGGGGAGGCGCCACCCCATCCAAAGACCTAGGAACTAGAAGACCGTCACTGCCCCTCACACCCAGGGATAGGACAACTGCAGTAACCCCTGTGAAAGTGGGTGTGGAGGGCACCTGGCAGTCCCTGCTCCATGGCCCTCTAAAGTCTTGCCAGGCAGGCACAGCCAGGGCCCCTGTCTGGGAGTGGACACCCCACTCCCCCAAGTCGTGCTCTCTGTGGCCTGGGGTTCTAGCCTCGGGAGGACCCCTTTCCCGTTTCCCTCTTGGCCACGCTTGATGGTGTCCGCAAAGGAGCCCTCCTCAGTGGCAGAACTGCTTTCCCAGCCTCTTCCCCACCAAGGTTGTTTTCAAGTCCCAGTAGTCACAAACTTTCATCCGGGGCTCTTCTTTCTTTTGGAATTCAACTCAAAATGACTCTGTGGTCTGCAGGTGACTCCATTCCAGGTGCCTACAGCCACGCCCGCAGCGCCACCTCTGGACACTGCTGAGCTGCGCACCTCTGCCTGACACCTGCCTTTGGGAAACTCAGCAGCAGTGCCCAGCATCATAACCTTGGGGGTAGGAGGGCATCTGGATCCAGGATGGCACCCTTGCCACAATCTGTCCTGGCTCTGTACCCGCCCGTGGGGTGCACAGGAGGGCTCTTTCAGCCTCAAGTCCTTGCATTCCTGGCCTTCGTTCCTTTTCCTCCCAGCTTGCAGGTGCAGATTTTTTTTTAGCTCATCGCTTCCTTGTAGTCCCTTGTCAAATGCAGCCTCTGGCCAATATTCAGGCCAGGGTTGTTTCCCAGCCTCTCCACTAGACATGCACACTTAGCTCACGATCTGCCTTATGAGTCATCACCGTTGAGCTTTACCAAATGTTTTGCCCCACCTAACAGCTTGCCAACATTCCAAATCCTGGCAGGTCACATGTTTTGTTAGCACAGCATCCCTATTCTAGCGGCCAGCTTCTCTATTAGGCCAAGTTATGCTCCAGCTAGACAACTATGAGGCACAGACGTCTCACCCGACAAAGCTTGCTCATGCTGCAGGCCCACCTCAGGCTGGCAGGGGAAGGGTGGATTCTCTTCAACGTGACCACTCTGGGACCTATACTGATGGGATAGAGATCTCGAATGTTTCCAGGCACTTTGCCAGGGATAAGAGAGCTGTTGAGGGGCTCACACTGGCAGTGGAAGTTCTGAAGGGCCTACAACCACAGGGGCTGCAACCCCACCACATGCACAAAAGTGGGGGTAGATGGCAAACAGCACTAATGACAATGACAGAGCTGAGGCCAGAATGTGAGAGAGATCTGCATTTTGGGGATTAGGGCCTAGCCAGGCAGGTAGGAGGAGATGATGTTCAAAAAGGGAAAAGCAGCTTGATTAAAGATTGGTTTCTACAGAGACAGATTAGAAAACTGAAGCCTGAGGCTTCAGTGAGGGAGACCCATGCAAATTCCTAGGCCTTGGAGGTCCAAATAAGGTTTTCTAAGTCCCTCAGGCCATGACCTATTCAGTCCAGATTTGTCTCCCAGAGTGTTTCTCTGCCATCTCTACTCTAACTAGAACTTATTGGTGGTGCTTCTCTCCTAAGGCCAGATGCTTTGCATAGAACACTAGGGAACTTCAGGTATAAAGGTAAGGCACAATTGAGAATCACCTGCCCAGGACAGCAACACAGTGTGAAGGAAAACAGGCCACTCAACCCAAACCTGAGGAGACAGAGGCAACAGAAAAATCAGAAAAGGACTTTAGAACACATATAATCAAAATCTCAGACCTAAAGGGGACTTTTGAAATAAACTATAACATAGGAAGAGGCACTTGTGAAACAAGAACAGGTAGTTTATAAAAAAGAACCAGCCAGAGACCCTGGAAATTTTTTTAAAAGCAATCATTAAAAAATGAAAACTCAGTGGAACAGTGCTATGGTTCGAATGTTCCCTCCAAAATTCATGTTGAAATTTAATTGCCATTGTGATGGTATTAAGAGGTGGAACCATTAAGTGATTAGGCCATGAGGTCTCTGCCTTCATGAATGGATTAATGTCATTATCAGAGTGGGTTCGTTATCATGAGGATGTGTTGTAAAATGAGTTTAGCTGTCTCTTGCTTGTGTGTCCTCTTGCTCTTTCATCTTCCCCCGTGGAATGGTGTGGCAAGAAGGCCTTTACCAGATGCCAGCCCCTTGACCTTGGGCTTCCCAGCCTCCAGAACTGTAAGAAATAAGTTTATTTTCATTATAAATTACCCAGTCTGTGGTATTGTTATAGCAGCAGAAAATGAACTTGGGGATATTAGGTCATGGAGAGTTAAAAAAAAAAAAAAAAAAAAAATTTCCAATCAATCAAGGCATCCTCATTCTCAACATGGCCTACATTCTACCCTCCAGGGGTCCCCTCCATGGCCCTTCATCTCCCCCAACCCCACAACTCAGCCTCATTTCTTTAGCCATTTTCTCCCCCACATCTCTCTTCCCTTCCCATCAGACCTTTGCACCCTGCAAGCTAAGCCACCTCAGGTAGCCATGCCCTCAGGGCTCTAACCCAAGCACCCACCGCAGTGTTTTCACCAACAAACACTGTCCTTTTACTAAGAGGAATCTGATGTCAGCTGTTAGTCTCCCCCCACCCCCATCTCTCCGAATAATCACCTGGTCAGACAGAAGCCCAAGAGCAGGGACATGCCAGCTAAAGATAGAGCTTGGCAAGGGTGTCCACGGAGTGGCCAGGCCCAGCACAGATCTAAGGGGCTTTCAACAGGCACAGGCAGAGTGCTAAGGAGATCACTCCCACCTACCCACCCATCCAGCCAGGCCCAAATAAACCTCTCCTTGTTCCAAATGAATGAGCAAACAGAAAAATTCCAGTGTGGAGGGAACACAACACCCACAATGCAGAAAATAGCCCACATCTGAAATATGCTCACCTCAGATAACCAGTCAACTGTGGAAATTATCTGCATAATCCTCGTAATAAAATTGAAGAACACAAAACCACTTCATACCAATAGTTCGGAAAAAAATTCCTGTAAGGAGCATGTACCCTATTTATTTATTCCCACTCTGTTTAGTTTACTAAGCATGTATTATACTTATGAGAAAAAAAGCTCAATCTAAAAATTGCCAACAAAGAATCCATTCCTCATGTTGCAGTGAATGAAGCGGGCTGAGGTCAGCATGGTTTTATGCTGGCTGCCCCAACTCTAAGGAGTTGATGTGTCTTACTGTTAACAGTGGAAGATGTCCAGGTTCTTGGCGTTTTGAATATAGAATTAGACAAAACACACAAAGAGAGCAAAGAAGGAATGAAGGGATTTATTGAAAATGAAAGTACACTCCACAGTGTGGGAGCGGGCCTGAGCATAGGCACACAAAAGCCCTGTTATAGAATTTTGGGGAGTTTAAATACCCTCCAGATGATTCCATTGGTTACTTGGGGTATGCACTATGTAGATGGAGAGGGTGAAGTTACAAAGTCATTGTCCTACGCCCTATGGAGAAGATATTTCCTGTCATAACTAAGTGTGAATCGGCCTATGTTCCCTGCACCCAGACCCTATTTTCCTGCCTCCTACCTACAGCTGTGTGGTCCTGAGCTGTCACCTCTTCCCTTTGAAGCTCAGGTTCCTCATCAGTAAAATGAGGCAGAAATACCTACTGCTGAGATGTGTGATCACACAAACGCAGTGTCTCAACATGTTCTACATGTGTTTTGGCCCTTTGAGTCCTTGAGGACTGTCCCAGGTGGAACCTTCTTCACTTTTCTTGGAGAACTGACCATGGGTTGCAGCAAAGACTAAAATGGTTCCTGTTTCAGCCCTGCCTGGGAAGATTCAGCTGGAACCTTTAGGCTAGGAAAAGGGAGAAGGACCCTACCCCCACTGTACCGGACCTGAGACAAAGCCACAGAAGAGCAATCCTTTCTAACTCTGGGCAGTATATGGACAAGATACTAATTTTTCATCTCTGCATCTCCATGAGAACGCAATGACCAGCACAGTGAAGTACCCAATTACTGCCCCCTGAACAAATGGAGATGTCAAGTTCAGAAAAGATCCTGGCTGAGGAAGACAGGGAACATTCCCTTGAAAAACAAGGGCAGTCATCCAGACAGAACAAGAGGAGTGGCAGGATGAGAGGAGGCAGACAGGGTTGATTCTATAGGGCTCCTCCTCAACACCCATGAACCTGAGAAGTAAGTGGTCAGATGTATTTCAGTCCACTGGCCAGCAGTGCGGTCATGGTGGGAACTAGTCCCACCTGAAGGACTCTCATCTTCCTACAATCTTCAAATACTGCGGCATGGGGATGCTGTTCCCTCCTTGAAGTGAGGGCCCCGAGGCTCTCGTACTTTACAATACTTCAGACCAAGAGCCTGCAGTTGAGGCCGCCAGGATCACGAAGCAGCTGCCCCCCAAACCCCTTCTTATCTCACCAACCCAAGCTGCTTACAGCCCCTCCAGATATCCCGGGGAGGAATGTCGTTCTTCACGGCTGAGGGAACATCTCTGCACCCTGGGGTAGTGGATGGGACCACAGGGCATATGCAGTGTCTTAGTCTGTTTCACGCTGCTATACCTGAGGTTGGGTAATTTATTTTTTAAAAAAGCAAAACAGGTTTATTTGGCTCAAAATTCTGGTGGAAATTTCAAGATTGGGCCGCTGCACCTGGTGAGGGCCTCATGCTCCTTCAACTCATGGCACCAAGCGGAAGGGGGGGCCACACACAAAGAGATTATGTGGCAATATGGCGAGAGAGGAAGCAAGAGACAAGCCCAGGAAGGCTGACTCTAACCAGCTCTCATGGGAACTCACCCCTCCACACAGGGTACTAACCTATCCATGAGGGATCCACCCCTATTACCCAAACTCCTCCTACTAGGCACCACCTCCCAACACTGCCACATTGGGGACCAAATTTCAATACCAGCTTGGGCAGGGGCAGACCATATGCAAATCACAGCACAGGGTAATGGTGGGGGCAGGTTGACACAGGGCTGCTGCCTACCCACCACCAGCTGTCTCTTGGCCCCTTCCAGATCCTGGGCATCTGGCTACCGGCATGGGCCCAGCCTTGGACACAGATATGGCCACAGAAAGCTGTTAGCTCTCCAGATCTGATCAGCCTGGGAGAGTGGCACAGCAAAAGGCTCCCAAAGGAAAGTCGAGATCCTCGGCCAGCCTCAGCTCTGCTACCCACCCACATGTGCCCAGGACAGGGAAGATATGTTTCTTACTCCTCCAGGACCACTAAGTGAAGCAGGGACCAGGCTCTTCTTGAGTCCTCTCGGCTGTGGTGCAACCACCAGCCTAGCAAGAAATCAGAAACATCTTCTGCAAGAGTCAGCACCATAGTGGGTGCTGAATAGGCAATGAAGCATCCCACAGGTGTTGGGCTATGTAGTCACTCCCTTTTCCAGACCAAGGCAAGGAGATAAGCACTCTGGGCCCCTAATCAAGGGCCTGGGGCCAGATGGGATGAAAACAGCAGTGTCCTGCAACCTGAACTGCTACTCACGCAGGCCCCACCTGGCCTCTCAGAGGGAGGAACCTGGGACTCCTGAACCTGATTCAGTTTCTCCTTCAACAGCGGGACTTTTCACTCCTGACTGCAGAAAAACAGCTTCAATGTGACCATCCTTCGTAGCCCGAGGCTGGGTAAAACAGCCTGAGGCGGCAAAATCCGAAAAGCTCTATTAGGTGGCAAACTGCCGTCACTAGAAGAGTTGAGGCCCCCTTCTCCTCCCCTGCCTGGCCGCCTTCATTCCTGGGAATGGAACAGGTTCTTGCGGCAAGGGTGAATCCTTGAGCAGGTCCCAGGATCACTATCCTCACCTCCCCGCGGCACTGAGTGGCAATAGTTGTAAATGTGCGTCCACAGGGTCACTGTCCAGCAACCAGGACCAGGTGCCTGGCCATCTGGGGATCGGAAAAAGCTCAGCGGGATGCTCTGGCCGCCTCCCCTGATCCCTGTTAAGATGTAGAGCGTTCGACCTAAAATGCCTAGAAACAAAGCCCAGGCCCAGGAAGGTCCAACCATTGCGACGCCGCTCCCTCAAGCTCTTTCCTCGGAGCCGTCTCATTTCCCAAAACTCCCAAACACATCACAGAGAGAGGTGTTGGGCTAGGTGGTTACTCCCTTTTCCAGAACCACAGCAAGAAGTTGAGCCTGCTGGGCCCCTAACCAGAGCCCTGGGGCCTGGTGGGACGAAAAACTCCACTAGGTAGCAAACAGCTGTCACTAGTAGGGTCGAGGCCCCTTTCTCCCCTGCCTGACGACGACGGCGGCAGGCCCTCGACCGGCGTTGGACAGCTCGCTACTCGCCTTCCCTTGCGCAAATCGCTGTTCCTCCCAACTACCCGCGGCCACCTCCTCCGCAGCAGAGCGCCGGAAACAGAGACGCGTTTCGGCAGGGAGGTGCATGCTGGGAACGGCGCTGCATGCTGGGAGCTGTAGTCTGTGACGCAACTCGGCCGAGGTGCCTCCCTGGTCCCTGAAGCTCCCAGAGCCCGCGTGTTCAGGCGGTCCTGACACCCCGGTCCGAGCCACACCTGCTGGAGGGCTAAACGCCTGCCGGCCCTCCGGGTATGAGCGGAGGCCGGGACACCCCTGGGCTCCGACGCCCCCGGAAGGAAAAACTACAGCTCGGGCAGCTGCCCAGCCTCGTAAGCGCAGAGCTGGGGAACCCCGCCCCCTGGACCTCCGATGTCCGTGGCGTTTTCCGTCGCCCGAGTGCCATTGGGCCGGCCTGTCACGTGACCCGAGGCCCCGCGCCCGGTTGGCTGCCGCCTGGTTACCAGTGGGAGACTAGCGGGCCGGCGTCCTGGCCTAGTCCAGCACCTGCGCCGCCCTCGGGTTTGGAGGGCTGGGCTGAGCGGGGAACGGGCGGGACGGGCCGGAGGCGGCGGCGGCGGCGGACTCGCCTTCTCTCCGGGGCTGCGACCCCGAGGCTACCGGCTGCAGATGGGAGCCCGCGGAGCCGAGGATGCGGGCGGGCCGGGGCGCGACGCCGGCGAGGGAGCTGTTCCGGGACGCCGCCTTCCCCGCCGCGGACTCCTCGCTCTTCTGCGACTTGTCTACGCCGCTGGCCCAGTTCCGCGAGGACATCACGTGGAGGCGGCCCCAGGTGGGACCTTGCGGGTGCGGTGGGCGCCGTGTCTGGTTTCCGAGAACGCTCCTCTCAGGGGGCGGGGCGGGACGGGGCGGGCGGCCAGGGTAGCTCCGAACGCAGGATCCGCTGTTGTTCTCAGAAGTGGACGCCCGGCCCCCTCTTTCTTACCTCCTTCCTACCCCCGCCCAGAACGAGCAGGACGCCGCGCTACCCCGAGGACACTAGACTGGGTCGTGGCCACCACCTGCGAGAGCTCCAATCCAGAAGGAGGCTCGGAGCTCAGCGAGAGGCGTTTTAACAGAGTCCCAAACCCAGCCCACCTGTTTGCTTCCGGCTTGAAGAGCGTTTGTGTCTGCTCCTCCCGGCAGAGAGGGCCGCTCATGCCCCTCTGAAGTGGCTGGGTCGAGCCCACAAAGCAAAGCGTGATAGAATTTAAGTTTTGGATTTTGTGCACCTGCCTTTCCAGTTGTAAACAGTTAAAAATGGCACCTCCAAGGGATGTCCTGGCCGAGTGCCGTGGTCATATTTTTAGAAGTAGTTTATCTGCTGAATAAGACTACCCAGGGAACAATCTTGCCCTAAGCGGATGCAGTCTTAGCAGAGACAACTGATGGCCACCAGTCTTCGAACAGAGCTGGAACTTCTGGAATCTGGTGACTGAGATGGTTTTGACAGGCCCCCTGGTTTCCTTGGACAACACTGAAGGGCCTGAGAGGAGGCAAAGGTCAGAGCATGTAGAGCCTTGTCGTTGTAATTTGGGTTTTATTTTGTTAAAAGCTTGATTTTAGGTGCAGCTGGAGGCCACTAGCGGGTTTTAGTAGAGGAGTGATTCTTTTGGATGTGTGTTTTTACAAACTCACTCTTGCTGCTGGGTGGGAAGTGGATTGTCGGGGCAAGAATGCAGGGGACCATTGCAGTGGTCCTGGAGAAAGATGAAGGGGCTCAGATTAGCCTGACGACCGTTAGGATGTGGATTTGGAGTGGATTGGTTTGAGACCTACTTTGCAATGGGAATTGAAAGGCCTTAGTGACTGATTGAAATAGAGGGTGAGGATAGTGGAGGAATCGGCATGTTTTCTAGGTTTCTGACCTGAGCCAGTGGGTGGATGGTGGTCCTGGGACAGAGCCTGGGGGGGACCTCGAGTCGGACTTTGCTCTCACGTGTTGAGGTGGAGCTGGCCTGGAGGCAGGTGGATACAGAGCAGGGAGATCTGTGCTAGAGACATTCATCTGGGAGGCAGACCATATTAGATGGTTTACGGTCCATAGCCTGGGAGAGTGTCTCGGGGGAGTATCAGTAAAGAAGAAGGAGGCCTTGGGACTGAGCCTTGAGGAACCCTAACATTTCTTGGGGTCAGGCAGGTGCCCTGACAAATAGACTTGAGAAGCAGCAGGCAGTGAGGTAGAGGGTACCTGGGGGCATGCGGCCTCACGGAAGCTGAGTGGGGACTGCCTCAGGGGTAGCAGATGGCTGTCCTGCTGTTCTGAATACTGCTGAGTAGTTGGGAAAGAGAGTTGGGACCAAGAGAAGCCCAATGGGTTTGATAACATAGAGGTGACAGCGACATTGATCGAGGCAGTTTAGGGGCCATGATTGTCTCAGAAGCTAGAGGAGCCTGCGTGGAGAGTAAATGGGAAGCGGACAGTGGGCATGGCAGCTCTTTCAAGAAGGTTGTAATGAAGAGAAGCCTGAAGGAGAATATGGTGCTGAGGGATAATGTCTTAAACAACATGGGGGTGGGATTCTGCCTGGGGAGCTGGAAGGGAAGGAGTTGTGAGAGGAGCCCAGGCTCCGAGGGCAGGAGAGAGGGTCAGGTTCAGAAGCAGGAGGCAAGGTGGAAGCTCAGAGGGGTGGGCAAGGGCAGTGTGGATGTTTTGAGTAGACGAGGAGAAAGGGGAAGGTATTTGATAGTTAGGGGATGTGGTAAATGGAGCCTGCTAGAGAAACAGTAAGATTTCCAGCAGGATGGAGGATGCATTTGAGATTTACCAGCATGAGTGAAAAGTAAAACTTTTCTAAACCAACATTTAGCTGTTTTGAGAAGGAGCTTGGTAGAGTTTGGGATTTTTCCAGTAAGGAAGGCAGACACACAGGCACCCCAGAATTAAGCTGGACAGGGGGATTTGAAGCCAGGAGCTGAAGGACACCCACTGCAGGAAACCACTTTCCTGTCCGCTTTTGGGTAACACTGATGATCGGAAAAGCTCCACCCCAACCCCTGTCATCTAGAGCCTTGGGTTCTTAGTTTGAAGGACTCCCCAGCAGGCATGATCTAACTCTGGACAACTTTCTGTATTTCAGGAGATTTGTGCCATGCCCCGGTTGTTTCCAGATGACCCGCAGGAAGGGCAGGTGAAGCAGGGGCTGCTGGGGGATTGCTGGTTCCTGTGTGCCTGCGCTGCCCTGCAGAAGAGCAGGCACCTCCTGGACCAGGTGTGGGGCCCCTTCTTCCCTGTGTTTGTCCTGGAGCCGGTTTCTCTTTGCCTTTCTCCTGCCTGCTGAGTACCAGGAGCCCTTGCGAAAGCTGAGCCGTGCTGCAGCCGGATCGCTCGCTGTGTTGGGGAAAGCAGGAACATTCCAAGGCAGAGACTGAGGACTGCACTCTGTCCCTCGGCTGCAGGAGGGGGTGCCTTGGCCTCGCCAGAGGCTCTGTTAGGGAAGTTCACCCTGCTCTGTGCTCTCGTGAGCCCTGGGCTCTCCATGGAATCAGATCACCACATTTAGAATAAAGAGACAAATATGCCAGCTCACAGGAGAACGGGGCTGGCTGGGGGACTCTGCCCCAGATCTCTCCTCAGCTAAGTGACCGGTTTTCATACAGGTTTTGAATATAAGTTTGCAAAAGGTTATTAAACCTGTTTCTGTGGGTAGACAGATACTCTGGGCAGAGAAGGCCTTCTCAGGTTTTCCTTACCTGGAAGTGTTCATAGTTTTATGCTTGGCTCGTTGCTAAGCGTTGCTGATTAATGCAGCGGCATTGATAGTGTGACCTCATTCAGAGTTTCCCTCATGTCCCAGGCCCCATGGTAAGCATGTCACAGTCACTGGCTTTCAGTCTCACAGCCTTGCCAGCTTTGGCCTTTTTTGTTTTTAAATGAGAGTGCTAAAACCACTGCCATGGTGTTTCTGGCCATTAAGTGGCAGAGCCAGGACTGCACCAGGCGCCTAGTGCCCAGCCTGCACTCCGCCTGATGCTGGGGGTCAGAATGCTTACTCCTGAAGGAGCCCTGCGGTGGACACAGTGGGTGCATTCCAGCTGGCCCAGTGTTGGGGCGCCAGGCTCCCAGCAGCAGGAGGGGCTGCCGTTCCT